AATTTAATGGTTTTAAATATACATACTGTTTCCAAGGCCCTGTCAAGCTTAAAAACAAACAAACAAACAAACAAAAAAAAACAATCAAACAAACAAAAAAACATTTTCACATTATGCTCAATTCAGATGATTATACACAACTATACTTACCTGTCTCTTTATCTGTTTCCCCCATTGCCACTTTTTCTGCTATCTGAGGTACACACATGCCTTTCAATTTATATAAACAAGGGATTTTGCTGTAAGAAAAGCTTTCTGCTGGTCTTTACAGTGGTGATTTCATGGCAGCACAGCAGCGTGCTTCCTGAAGATAGTTAAGACCACGATGCATGTTTTGGAATTGGTGATTACCCTAGTAGAAAGGTAGAGACTTAAAAGAGAGATGTTGCTCTGTGTAAGAGTATTTTTTTTTTCTGTGTAAGGTTTGTGTGTGAAATACACACTCACAAGTCTTGCTGAAAGTGATGGGAATTAAAGACCTATGGGCATTTGAGGAACCTGGGAAATATTAAGCCTTCTTCATACATAATAGGTAGGTAATAATCATTACTGGTATGGTGCTTTATGAATGAATTTGCAAATCTGTGGGTACTTTTAGGCAAACAGAATGATACCAACGCAGTTCAGATAAAAATCAAGAGCATCTTCAGAAAAGTGCCTGCCGTGTTGAGAACTTCCTAGAGATCCTGTTTCTCATGACAAGAATGCCATTATTTATATATAAAAAAAGAAACAAGTAGTGGATGAATAAACATTTTTGTTGATTTCTTGCAAATTAATGTTGACTTAAGTCAACGTTTCCCTCGAAAGTACTTTTATATAAAGTTAAATGAAAATGGGATTCTGTAAGTAAAACAGAATATCACCCTCTCAAAAACAGTAATTTAATTTATAGAGGGGCCTGAAAGTTAAAATATTTATGGTGTTTTTTGCTTGTGTTAATATTAGTTATTAGCATACAGGATTAAAGTCTTAGGAAGATGTCCTTCTTTGCAGATCTTGTACTACAAAGCTGACAAAGATGAATATAACTCTTCATAGCACCCAGTGCATCTAATACTGACTTTAACATAAGCACAGAAGTAGTTCTAGCAGAGAAGGGTTTGTCGCGGAGGTGACTGCAGGCGAGCTGCAGTCTTTCTGCCTCTTTCAGACCTCAGACCAAGGCTGAAGAACTAGCAATGCGCAAAATTGACCGAGTTTATTACGTAACTGCTGTGCCAGAGGCCTAACTAACCCTGCTTCTGAAACGTTGATCTCCCCAGTATGACAGCACTGAAACGCAAAGCCGCTTAGCAGTATTGCACTCATGCATACCTTTATTCAAATGTAGTTTAAATCTTAAATCTGCTCAGTGAGTTGCTAGTGGTTACAGACGTGAATTTGCATCACGTGTCCGCTGTGCACCTCAGTGCCACCAGTGCCAGGCGCTGCCAGAGCCCTGGAGAGGCTCTGTCTAGAATAGCTGCCACCTCTATGTCAGCCCAGCGCCCAGCTGCAGGATCCTGCTTGCACCAGTTTTTTTTGGGGGGGGCCTTTCTTTCAAGCACATGGACCTTTTCTCCACGTCGGTCCAAACATCTCGAAAGCATTAAAAACACAATGAAAGGTGGGAGCAGTTCTCTCTGTCAGTGTAACTTCGAACACAGGAAGAAATTCTTACTCAGTGGCCAAGTTTTCTCACTCCCACTTTGCAGCCCTGAGGTGAGAGCCTGCCTTTAGAGGCCTTCAGAGTTTCCGCTTTAGAGTTTCCTTTGGGTGTCAGGTAATTGATGGAGTGACAAGACAGCTAAAACCTGGGTGAGAAAGAGTTGCTGAAGGCAAATGCTTGTAAGGTCAAATTAAAATGTCTCTGAAATATGCATTTTACTAGTCTTTTTTAAGACTAGTAGGACACCAGACTGTAGGACAACAGTGTCTGCAAGAGCAAGTGAGGAACAACACTGTGGTGTCCATACCTCAATACACTGCGGGGTTTTTGGTCCCCTGAACTCAAACCCTCTTGTCTTCACAGCTCATGTACACTCTATGCACTGAAAATACATGCATGCGTTAAGGATGTAAGCAAACTCTTTTCTTTTCAGTGAGTTCCTGGGTGCAGAGTCAGCTTGTTGCTGACATAAATTCTTCATTACAGAAGGTAAAAATAGTGAGAGAGCCTATGGCAGAATGACAAAACCACTGTTTTTTGCAGGACACCTCAAAGGGGCTTTGCATAGATTATTTTTATTTCTGCCAGTGAGTCACAAGATGCTTCAATAGTTTCCAGTCTAGTGCTGATTACTGTCAGTTTAGCTCCCCACCTGGCTTTTCACAACCAGAATGGTAACAATGGCATCCAAATTCCCATGAAATCGAGTATGGGAGCTTATCAGAGCAGCTTCCAAAACAAAAAGCTGAAATATCTGAACCTTCTCCTCTGCTTTTCTGCTGCCCCTCCCTTGTGCTGCTGAGCAGCATTGTGTTACACCACTCTTTCCACTGACATCAGTGGGAATAGGTTTGACATAAAGCCCAGCCCAGAGAGAGCATGGCAGCACAATCTAGTTTGCCATGTCTGTAATTCAGAAAATAGCTTGAATTCTTTATAGTATGGCTTCTGTCCCTCTTCTGTCCTCAGTTGTCATCTTTTTGTCTGCATGTTTCATCACCTAGTGGACTATGCTGCAAGAAATTACTTAACTTTCCCTGGTCAGGCTATAGCAAGAAAGAAACAGGTTTTTGTCTTTTACAGCCCATGTTTAGTCTACCTGATTTAACACCACGGAGTTGTCTTGTCTTAGAAATATTGAGTAAATTATAAGGTCCCAGACCTTTCTTTTGATTTCTGATCCTGTTAAACACAGATGGTCTTTCTGGACTGCAGTGCAGGCTGTGGGCCAGATCCCTGTCTTGTACAAATTGGTGTGGCTTCATCAACTTCAGTGGAGCAACGCTGATTTGAACTGTCTGGGGAATCTGGCCAATTGGTTTTCATGGATCTGTGACAGTTTATAGCAGCTGAGGATCTGTGCGTTTAAAGGCCTTTCTAATTATAGCTTGTGTTCAGTCTATAGAAAGTGTATTGTTTTCCTCCCCTCCACCATTCAAGCAAGCCATCAAAACGTAAAAATATCCTGACAGTCCTGCTGCTTCCAGCTGTGGGGCAGGCTGAAGAACAGTTGTGATCTTAAAAAAGAAGTTGGGGAAAGCTGCAGGTCAGACTCAAGCTGTGAGTTGACATACACGTAGAAGATAAGGTGCTCGCCGTCTGCCCTGTGTTTGTGGCCTCATGAGGTTAGCACAGCTGCTGTCTGTAATCTGTCGTGCCGTAAGCTATGTGTGTGTGTGTTTTAGAAGGGTCGTATGGTTATGAGGGGAGAACATGAGGAGAAGCCTAATTTATTTTTTACCTCCTTGCTTTCCAAAACATGTATACTTTTTTCTCAGTGTCTTGAACGAAAAACAAGATGGCAGTATAATAGCAAAGATTAAAGTTAAAGATTTATTTAGGAAATATTAAAGTTATCAAGACCTAAACCTTAGGAACATCCCATCTCTTCCCTGTGAGAGATTTCTGTTCAAATAACCAGGACTTTAAAGCTTTCACGGAGATGGTGACAGAAGAAACATTATCTCCATGTTATTGATGAGGAAATAGAGTAGCTTACCAAAGGCCTCACAGGAAGTAATATGTTTATCTGGAAAGCTTATTCTGTTGGTTGTTTCTACTTTTCATCATTTTCCTTTCTTTTCTTTGTCTCCTGTTCCCTTTTCAGTCACATCTTTGTATTCAAGGTTCTTTGCATTCTACCTCTGTCCTGCTTAATGTATGCTTAATTTACTCTAGCAGAGTTGATCTTTGCTTCCAGCCTGCTCACAACTTCATTTCATGTTCCCACCTGTAAAATTTTCCTGCAAGCACCCTCATTCTTCCTCTCTCACTTGCATAAAGCTACTCCAAACAACTGCAGCACTGCAATCCTATTTTGCAAAACTCCTTTATCCCACCACCCTCTGGAAATGTCAGCAGTGCTGCTGCAGGGCAGGAGGTGGTGGTTGTTCCAGGGAGGTAAAAGGGGCTGCAAAAAAGTTCATCAGGGTCCTGCACTGTCAGAAATTACCTCCAACAAATTCATCTGAAAGACTGTGCTGCGTATCTTTGCAGGTGGGTGCTCAGGATGACGTGTCAGAAGCCCCGCTTCCTGACCGCATCCCTTGTTGATACAGGGTGGGCAGCTGCCCTCAGCATTATTGGTGTTATCTCATCATTTGCTTGTATACTTCTCCCGTCCATATCCATCTTATTCTCTCAGATTATACATCAACTGACAGAAAGCCTTTTTCACAGTACCTGGCACAATGAAGTGCCCAATTCTGACTCCTGTGCACTCTGACTCAAAGGCATTAAGGATGGATAGAAGACCTCAAGCATTATAGTCCTGGACTACAGCCTGTTGGATCTCAAAAGCCCGCTTTTCTACCCTTGTATTTATTTGAATGTGTGCAATTTAAAATTGAAATTTCCAAGGAAAAATTGAGAAAACATGTAGCAGTGACAAATTGCTTCCACCTTGTGAATAATGTACTAATAAAAGAGCAAGAATGCATTTTGCAGGTGATGGATCTGTGGCAAAAAGACTTCCCCACAGCATTCTGTTACCTTTTCCTGGCAGCCAGCAGCTGGGTCACACCATTGTGTTTCCCCCTTGTAGCCAGGTGTAGATTGAGAAAGAAAAGTATTATTCAATGGCTAAGGATTACCTGCTTTGCTCTTAGGCTGGCAGAGTTAGGTTTTCATGTGCATTAGTTTCCCCTGGCTTTAATTCATTGAGCAAGATGAGTTCCTTATCCATTTGTGTCAGTTTATTTTCCTCTTGCTTCCTTTGCCACTATTCAAAGGGTTTCCATTTGCTGACCAAACTTATCTAGATTTCAAGGTGTTTGCCTTCCTATTGGTGCCAGGCAGAGGAAATAAATAGGTTCAGCTGTGCTGAGTGCCATTGTGCCAGCCTATGAAAGACATTGCAGTACAACCCCCTTTGCTGCTGTTTGAGGTAGGGCAGTCCTAAATGGCTTTTTGAGGCATAGCTACAGCAACACCTCTCTGCTGGAGTCTGGGCCTTATTGGCAAACGTGCTCGTTTGCTGGAGCAGTAAGTCAAACACCATAAATCACACTGGGACAGGGACCTCTTCTTGGCACAGGCTCTCGGAGGGGGTTTGTCGAGCCCCAAGGTGACATCTCTTCAGTGCCAAATCTCTGTTGCCTGCACCTGTCTTGAGAGCAGCTGACTGATGCGGTCCCCATCATCTAGTCATGCTAAAAGGAAGAGGAAGAGCGGTTCCTTCGTGGTTCCTGTCAGGTGCTGTGGTGGCGTGTCACCTCCTGGCTGGCAGCAGTGGGACCCTTGAGACCCCGAGGACAGGAACAGCAGTGCACAGTCACACTCCCTGCCTGTAAGATTTCTCCAGTGACGTCAAAGGGGCAAGGATTTTGTGGTGGATAACTGCTGTGTTGTGCTGGCAGATCAGTGTCTGCCTGTGTTATTTCTTTTTCCCCTTCTGCATTCCTAGGAATTGCTCCAGTGCAGTTAATGCTTTGTCTATCAGCTTGACCTGCCTGTATGAGCTAGCTTTACATGAGCTAGACCAGCTGCTGACAGGCTGGGGTAGGAATTTTGTTGTGCAGGGAGATTAAATAGTTTATTTCTCATCCATCAGGAGGAGTCCTCAGACCGCCAGTCAGCTGGGCTTCTTAGGTGACAGCTTTTACCTTAGGCTAATGGATGTTTTAAAAATAGCCATGGTTAGACACTAATTGCTCTGCTGGAACCTTTAAACTTCTCACATGCTTTTATTCTGGTTTTGAGTCCAGGCTCTTCAGTTGCTGCCATCAGCTGTGTTCTGCGTCTGAGGCTTCACGTTCGCAGTTGGCTCCGAACTCCCAGTGCGGACACACAGACGGTATCTTCCTGGAGCTCCTTCTTGAGACACAGTTTCCCTCTCAGAGCTGCAGATTTTATCATCATTCCCCAAATGTGAGCAATGTGGCACTTCAGATGCTGTGCTGACCTCTAGTGACAAAGGCAGAAGTACCTTTGCTCTTAAAACCTGTGAATGCCAAAGCTTCCTCGTAGCTCTCCTCTTTTCTGCAGTTTTTCAGCCCAAATGAATCATAAGGGTTTAGTCTCTCCTCACGTATCTCCAGGTTCTTATCTTAGTTCCCCATATTTCTGCCCAGTTGTTGAACAGCTGGTGCTGTATTCAGATCTTTTGCTAGTTTTGCAATAGAATTCTGTGAACTTTTATTAATATCTATTTTATTACTATAAAATTAGTCATTTTTACAAGCTGCTGACACTTTATCCCATTTATGGTACTACATTAAAATGCTTTATGTAAAGATAACTTAAACACCAAAACTCAGAGTTTAAAAATTTTGTTCTGACTCTTACTATTTGTCCTTTAATTACAGGTATGTCTTAATTCACGTTTCATATTGCCAACCAGGGAATTGGAAGGTTTCAGTGAGATACTACTTGTTTTGAAACACAGAAGGAATTTATATTAGCGAATTGTTCCAATACTGCTCTTTCAAAAAGTTTTAAACAATTTATTCCTCACAGATTTGAATTGTTTTAGTTTTTGAAAATTTGAAGTGTTTGAAACATGTGTGTTTTTCTTTCTATATTGTGAGCACAGTTACTCCCTGCGTGACTCCCCTGAAGTCAGTGGAGCTGCACTGAAATTAGTTGGGAAAATGTTAATAGAGTAACAGATACTGTCGATTACAGTTATACAGAAGAATAAAGAGTAGGGATGGCAGTGGAAATGACAAAGAACTGAAACAGAAAAATTAAAAGTAGAAGGGATTAGTGAGAGAGAGCTGCTGCAGCCTTTTGTTTGGTCTGCTCTGGAGGCTGGTGAGCCCCTGTGCAAGGAGCCCTACCTCAAGGTCCTCATGCTTGAGCCCTGTATGCCATCGGGTATCTTGGAGCAGTTTTGGGTGAGGTATTTAAATAGGGAAAATACATACAGTGTTAGATTTTAGCCTATCTTCCTCGTGGTGCATGTTTGCAAATGTTTTGTTTTAGTCTAGTATGTGGTAGATGTAATGTTTTTAGCTAACACTCAAACATAAACCAAGTTTTATGGGATGAAGTAAGGGCCAGCTTGGCTGAAAATAGTTATTGCTGCCTTCTGGTGGAATAACCCAATACCAGAACTATTACCAGATGTTAAATTAATATATATGTCTGGATGTACTATATATTGTTTCCTTCAATACTGAATCCCTTAAAAGCTCCTTATCAATCTGCTTTGTTTTATATTCAGTGTACTGACATAAGCTAGCACTGCAATGAGTAATATAGTTAATGTAGTAACTTTTTTTCTTTTCAGCTTAAGGGAATTTAAAAATAATATTTCTCTCTCTCTTTTTTTTTTTTTTTTTTTTTTTTTCCTACACGTCTCTACTGTTTGGAAAAATGACATCTAGGCATGAGTGAACGTGAATGAAAATTCCATGTTCATTCAGCTCACTGTTGTGCAAATCAAAGGATTTCCTGTTCCTTTCTTGTTTTATTTTTGAAACTTCCTTATTCCATGTTTGCTATTCAGCTCAGTTTGTTGGTGCTGTAGGTCAGAGAAGAATACATGCATTGCTAAAAGCATGCCTGAAGTTCAGTGGTCGTGGTAAAAGAAGGAAAACGTGCATGTTGCATCCCTCTGGGTAGTTTTGGGGCGAATACAAAGTTGACTTGGTGGTGGTGTCTTGGGTTTCTGTGAGGTAAGAGGATGCTGTGAGATCATGCGATACTTGTGACGGATGTGATGGATTTACTTTGGCGGAAGGTTTTTCTAAGTACCGGATAGCAGCTATCAGTTTCACCGCATGCCACACCAGTATTTAGAGACTGAAAGCAACTTTGTGGAGGCCAAGACCAATGAGCAGGGAGGAATCTGTGCATGGGAGGCTGAGGTTTGTTCATGAGCAAATGACAGAGAATGCCAGAGGGGAAAAAAGCAGAAGCAGGACTGCAGAGACGACTGATCCTGGAAAAGGATAGCAAATGGGAGAGAAAAGGGGAAATGCCCTGGTGGCTGGAGCCGAGCTGAATGGCTGCCTGCAGCAGGGGTGGGCACGTGTAGATCTGGAGAATGGTGCCCACTTGCAAAGTGACAGGGACCAAAGTTAAATTAACTTGTAGTGGGAAACAGACTACCTTCTGCTGGGGACCTCAGAACAGGTCCCATGCACCCTTCAGGGCAGTTACCTCCTGGATGAGAAGTGGCAGAAATGAAGCTTTTAACGTGAAGGAAATAAAAAACCTGCTTAGCCGTACTCGAAACTTTCCTGCCAGAGACATTCCTCGTCAAACACACATGGTGGGATTTTTCAAAAGAGTTTGGCACAGACTTTGCTCTGCTGCCACTGGAATCCATGGAGGTGCCACAGGTTTCGGTGGGAGGAAAACTAAATCAGTATGGAGTGCTTTGGAAAATTCAGCCCAGAATGGATGCTGGCAGCATGACTAGATAGGGATTGGAGGTGATGCTGAAATTGTCACGTAGAAATTTTCCATGCTGGCTAGCAGTATCCTCTCCATCCCCCTTGGTTTAGAGCTAATGGAAAGCAGCGTGTGGAGAAGCATGACCTGAGGGGAAGGGAAAGTCAGCATAGAAAGAAATAAAAATCTCCCCATTTCCTCCCTCCTGCCTGTCTTTTGTCAGGACAAAAACGCCACTGCACAACTTTTCTTCTACCTGAGGCTGGCGCTTAACTCCTCAGGAACATGCTGGTTGAAGGCAAGAAGACTCGGGTTTGTTTTCTCCAAAGCGAAAGGCACACTCCTGGCACTTGCTCAAGTATGGAAGAGGAAGGGGAAGGGGAAGTGGGGGTCATGTCCCCTCTGTCAAGCGCCCTGACTTACGCCTCAGGTCACAGCCTCTTGTCATGGAAAGCTGTAGTTCAGAAGAGACCTCTGCAGCTCCTGCAGTCTCCTGCTTGGGCAGGGCAAACTTAAAACTCTGGTGAGGTTGCGCAGCTGCTGAGGTGCAGAGGTGTCTTCCCAGCCCTGCAGCTCGAGTGGGAGAAGAGCAGAAGAGCACAAGAATGGCCTTTGCCAGCCATGGAGGTGGTTGGCCCAGGAGGCTCCAGGTTTTCTGGGTCTCCTGCTGTGAGGCCATCCCTACAGGCCAATGCAGTGGCTGTAGCTCAGCCCTTGGCATTTCCCAGAAGACTGCTGTTGCCCTCTCACAAGCTGACATCCTCCCTCGATAGGAATCATCGTCAGCAAACAGCTGGTTTTCCTCATTTGGTCACCCTTACATTTTCTGCTTCTCTTTTGGACATGTCACTTAGCTTTCCTAGGTAAATGTCAGACCTTCCAATAGAAAAAGCTACCTAAATACCACATAATGAGTTCAGACGTGAGCAGTCGCCTCTGTGACATGCAGCAATTCACCTCTTTTCTTCGCTTGAATGGCTCCTTAATAGCTCCCTTGGCCTGCTTGGTGTTAGAGTCCCCAGCAAGAACAAACCACTCTTCAAAGTGGGTGGCGTTATTAAAGAACAATGCTGCAGTCTCTTCTAGAGGCAGCAGCGGGGTTTTTAAGTTCACTGTGTACTTTGAAGGAATGTGCTGTGGTTCAGCTGCTGGCCAGGTCTGGCCCATGGCATGCTGTAATGGGGCCTGCCACCTTGCCTTCTGAGCGTGCCAGAGCCAGGAGGCCCTCTGCTGCCGTGTGGACATCACTCAGGGGGCAGCAAGGGCCCCGAAACTGGATCACTGTGAGCTAATAGCTCATGACAACCGTGTTGGAGCCCTTAGTGTTTTAGGACTTGTCTTAGGCAGGAATTTATTTATGTCAGTTGCTGCTGACCAGCTGAATATTTTCATGACTGCCAATTTTGTCTCTTGGATTCAAACGGTCTGTCCTGCTGTGACAGTGCTTTTCCCGAGGAATGTTAGTGCTCCCTTTGAATACAGTTTTAATGTTGGCTAATTTTTCACTGAATAGCATCCTGACATGAAAGTATCTATTGATATCAAATGTCTTTCTAACCCAAATGCATGTGTCACTTCGGTGCTGGGGTAGCTTTGTTCTCCTTAGCACACTCCCATTATAATGGAACCAGCAGGATTCAGTTCTACCACGTCAGCAATCCCGTAACACCGCTTTTGTAGCAAGGCTGGCTGAAAAAAGACTAATATGTATATATTTGAAAGGGTCCATATGGATGTAAAAAGTATTGGTGCCATTTGGTATAAACTGTAATCGGTTCCAGACTCTGCCGCACTCAGAAACTTGAATCACGGGATTGTATTTGGTGGTTTCTGTATTTTTAGGGTTCTCACCTAAACCACAGGTCTTGTAGCAAGTAAACGGCTATATCCGTGGTGTCCAATCCCTCATCTTAATGATGTTAAGAAAATGTTTGTTTAACTATGAATTGAAATTGTATTCTGAGCCCTGCAGCTTTTCAGGTGAAGTGACAGAACCAGCCCTGCTACACTGGGGCAAAGTAGGTGGGCTCCAAGGCCTGAGTTCAGATGGGCTGAATTTCACTTAATTCCCTCAATTGTGTTCCCTTTAAGGCATTTCTGAAAGCCTGGAGCCAGTCAACCTGAAATACTGAGCACTGGGATCTAAGTGGAATTTAGGCTGCTTTTGGCTCTCTCTTTGTATGTGCCTTAAGGCATATCGAAGGTAAGAAGAGGCAAAAGGGAGACAGAAGCATGCACAAAGTACATTGTTTGCTTATAAAGTGTCTAACAGACCAGTGTGGCTGTGATGAGGACAGGGCTGCTGAACCAGATTGTTTTCAAGCTTCAGGCTGGGTTTGGGTCAGCTGTTGCCCCTTGATTCGGGCAGGGGAGATGGGCGGTGGCAGGATCACACCAGAACCTCTTCCATGGATTGCTGGTGACAGAAACTGATAGGCCAAGAGGCCATTTAGGCTGTTTGTTTCTTTGGATCCAGAGCCATTGTGTGCATCTGCCTGAGCCTGCTGGTGGCTTTTAACCCCATGACTGTTTTCAACCACGTGTGCCTGCTGAGTGGGAGAGGTGCAAGGAGCTGGGTCTGGAGTTGGTCTGCTCAGGAGAGAGCTATGGGGAAAGGTTGTAGAAAAGCAGGCTTTGTTTTAGTGTTGTTGCTCACAGAACAGCTTGAGTTTGTCTTTTTTTTTTTTTTTTGTCTGAAATAACTAAAAGTGAGTTGGAGTGTTCATTGTCTGAGAATGGCAAACTCCCAGGGTATTCTAAACTTGTTGTTTTAAAAAGATGTTATAAATCAGCAAGGAGTCAGTCTTGTGGCTCAGAATTACACGTTCAGCACAGTGTTTGTCCCCCAGCAAAGTCTTCTAAGGGTACTGCATTTTGATTGTAATTTCCTCAGTTGTCATACTGCTGTACGCTCAGGAAAAGTGGGGACTCACTGCCATCCAAATTTGCTAGCTGGGGAGGACTGGAACAGTCCTGAGATGTGGAAAACCTCAGGCTGTGGTGCTGACTGCCATGGCAGCTTTGGGACAGCAGCTTTGGGGCATAAGCCGTGGCAGCTGTGTCATTGTTGAAGCAGAAAGAGGTCATCCAGAGGAGGGAGAGTGGGGTTGCGCTGGCTCGTCCATGAACTCTCATGACAGCTGAACACAGAACAGAGTTCCCCTTTAATTCAGGATAACAACACCTTTCATGAACTCCTTTTAGCAAGAACTTCCAACTATGAAAAAATAACCCAATGTAAAAGTACCTAGCCCTTTGCAGCACCATTCCAGAACACAGCGACGATGGGAAGCTTATAAAAGTTTGAGGAAAAGCTACAGATCTTCGGAAGCAGGTAGCTTCTCCACAGATGAAGGAGGAACTCTGTTCTCAGAAGTACAATTTTCTGCTGTCACTGTGCATTTGGGGCTTTCAGTTTCTGTAAGTTCTCCATATGATTCAGGCATTTCTTGCCTTCCTGAGGCAATGTGAATTTTCAACAAAAAAAAACCAAAACACTCCTTTTAACCAAAGGAAGGTTCTGGTGACCTTGGAGGCAGATCTGCTTAGTCTTCAGAACTACATACTGGAAGGAAAAGAATGTGCAATGTTGGTGTGGGGAGGAGATGTAACTGCAGAGTCCAAGTTCAGTTAGAATGATGATTATGCTCCCTTTCCTGTGGCTTCACCAGTGAAAGTTTTTTTCTAAAACCATAGGATAATTAACCTTAAATAGGACAACTAAGAGCCCTGCAGTTATGGAATTCCCTAGTAAGACCAGACCTTCCGTCTTTTTTCTCAATCACAGCAGGGAAGCAAGAAGTAGTTTTTTTGTTTTGTTTTGTTTTTCAATTATAGACAAGCT